ACCAACTACCCACAACCCCCACTCCGACTACGAACAGAGGCTGCGACCACCTCGACATGGAGCTCACCGACCAACCCCCATTCAAGCGCAGACGCTTGACGTCAGCCGAACTCCCATCAGACTCCAGTGTCGTCGTCAACGCCAACAAGATCGAGAATCGTCTCACCATCCACGACACCTGGGTCATGGACTCCCGCCCCCTTCTCGTCGAGAAGGCCCGCAGCCGCCTACCCCAGCTCAATGCCCGCCCACCTCTGCAGAAATACGGCGTCCAGGTCATGCTGCCGATCGGGCTAAACCAAGACGATGTAAACCTCGAACTTCTCTTGCAAACTACGGCAGGCTACCTCAACCTCTCCTACACCGACCAACTGCCCCTCGTCTGGAAGCACATCGACGAGGAGCTCGACGAGTTCACCACGAATCAAAAGGTAAGGACGAATTATCAATTGAACTGCCAGCTGGCATTTCATTTCATGTATTTGAGTACATCTTTTGTTGATATATCCTTTTAGAACAACTTCGACATCGAGAGTGTCGAAGGAGAAGACTCACCAAAGGCTCAAGACATCGATCCCGCCGCATTGCTTCGGTTCCTCACCGACGGCACCATCACCAAGCGTGACGTCGAGGACCGCCACTTCCAGCAGACCATGTTTCGGCTCCGAAACGGCCACTTCCCAGTCAAAGCGGGTCCAGCTGCTCGCTACTTCTACTTCGCCCACATGTTCCTCGAGTCTATGGAGAGGTTCAAGGCGGGATACCCGCAGTCACTCAAGCTGTTAGGCGTCGACACCATCTTCTCTGGTCCCTACAGCATCGTTCTCTCAGACTACGGTCTCTTCACCCGGAACTTCCCCCCAGTGTGGGAGGAGTTTGCAACAGAGGACATCTTTCGATTCTACATGCTGTGGAAGGCATACGACGTCCTGAAGGCCCGGAAGGGCAAGGCCGATCGCGGCAAGACCATCCTCCCCGACATCAACCGGGCTGAGGTGATCTTACCGTTCTTCAGCATCCGCCCACCCACCCACGACGCCGGTGTCGCACCCGTTCCAGACATACCGGAGTGAGAGGCGAAACTCCTTCGACTTACAGACAAGGTATGGTCCACGTCGTCCATATCAGGACTTGGCTAACCTAACTGCAGACGAAATGCCAACCGGCAGTTCACATCCTTATCATTGGATAAGCATGAAGAAGGACCGTCGGCGTCTTATGTACTTGTAAACACTTTCATTGGGTTTCGGGTTGTCTGAGGCCAAAAAGTACAAGCAGGCTACAAGACACAATAGCAGGCCACATGACGCGATCGGTGTAGCACATAGTTCAGATCACCGATAGTACAAGCCCACATCACACACTACACACACCGTTTCCATTATCATAGTGAAGCAGTCAGGAATCCGATGCTACTAAGTAGAGGTTGGCACGGGCTAGCGCGCGCAGCCCGACCGTTGCGGCAGCTACAAATTTAAAGATCTCCACT